AAGTTACTAGTTTTTAAAATCAGTACTTTTTCATGGTAAAAACTTGACCAAAAATCTGTCACAGAATTTTGAGACCCATTTAAAACAAAGTTTAATGAGGGAATAAAGAATGAAAGATGACCCAAGATTAGAACTACGGATGGCTCTTTCAGAACTCTTACACAAAGAAAAACATGGTGGGAGAGGGGAGAGAACTCACTGAAGGTGACAGTGAGAGACTAGTTAGTAAAGGTAAATACCATGCCATGTATCTTAGCCCCATATAAACTCATCTGAGACTTTTGGAGAAGAAATAAGCCAGCATTTTTTGTTGTTCTTATTCGATAGAACAGAAAGTTAAGAGGTATTTAAACTTGGAAGAGGTCGTTATGTAAAATGCTAAGGAACTATTGTGACATTCTATCTGGCAGGCAGTTATTCAGATATTTTTATTTGATCTGTTGCTAAGATTTTATGCCCTATCTGGGTATAAAGAGTCCTTAGTTGCTTTCCAATTTAAAATTAAGTACATTCCAGCTACACAAAAAGCACATATTTATGATGCTCTGCTTTTTACGAAGCTTAGCGTGGAGTGGCATATTTATGCCAAGGTAGGTTTTCATGGAAAACTGATATGTGAAATTATATCAGTTCCTTATATTCTTGTATTATTTAACCATGAAACCCCATCTTTATCCTAAAGCCCAAATAAAAGGCTATACTGATAACTCTCCAACCCTATTGAGAGAAGCAGAAAGACTCTAATGAGAGAAATACTTCCTTGGGAAACAATAACATTTTTCTAAATTTGGTTTAGCTAGTTAGTGAAATCTCTAAACCCATTGAAACAATATAAAGATTCTAAAAATATTTTTCTCTGTTTAAATAACAGTGGATAAGAGTCTTAATTCCATAGAAATTCTCTGAGATTAAATAGACTTTCCTCTCAAACTGAGAGGAAGTATTCTAAAAACTTTTTTCAATGAATACCATTGCAGTTTAGAATCCTCATGTTGACTACTGTTATGTAAAGATAAAAGTTCCACCCCATCCCCCACCAGTGAAATAAAATGTTGTTGAAGCCCAATGAAAATGGCAAATTGCTAGACAAAATCTCTGGAAGAATCCAGAATTTAGTCTATAGGGACCCAAGTGCAAGTCACAAGTCAGGGTCATTGGTGACCCAAAGTCCTCTTTCTGGGACAAGGGACACCACACAGGGATTCTGCTGCCAGAGACCCCTCTCTGTCCCAGCATAGAGAGAGTTCCTTCTCTCTCATCAAGTCTTACTGTGAACAAGGGCACAGCCTCCCATGTCCTACAACCCCTTTCTTGCTGTCCCTGAACTATCCCCTTTTCATTATAAGGTTTTAATACTGACCTTAGAGCAGGGTTTCTCAACCATGGCATTGCTGGTATTTGGGCCAGATAATTCTTTGTTGTGAGGCCCTGTTTGTGCCTGCTGGGATGCTTAGCATCAACAGGCCTTTACCCACTAGATGCTGGTAGCACCCCCTCACCCAGGTGAGCCAACCAAAAATGGCTCTAGTCAAATGTCCCCTGGGTAAGGTTGGGGGCCAACACTGTCTCTGGTTGAGAATCACAGCCTTAGTCAATAAGGAAAATGACTAATGGTGGTGACAAATGCCCTGCCATCTTTTGTCCTTCTCACAGTCTGAGGATACATGGCATGGGCCATCACCTGGGATACGAATGCCAACCTTGGTCTGGGTTCTGGACTTGCTATGCCCTCGAGCTAATACTTGTATTTCTTTGAGCCTCTGTTTTAGAATAAAGATGTATTCATTCATTGGACATGTACTCAATGCCCATGGACATGGAATATGAAAGGGGGCCTCCTTCAAAGTTGTTCACAGTTTAGTGAGGAGCTAGAGATCAACAGTAATTAAAATAGGAGCTTTAAGTTCCAACTAGAGGTTTCCCACACCTTGGTGAAAAGGGAGACAGACCTTGGATTCCTTGGTTGTCCTCCTATCAGATGTGTACCTGTGAAGTCCATTACCCAAGTCCATGTTCTGTTGCCTTCTGCTACTGGTGGCACTGCCCTGCTGGAGGCTAAGACCAGCAGGTCATAATTATGCAAGCGGTCCTCAGAAGGCTGATGGTCAGTGGGCTTTTAGCAAGAAAGAGGGCTATGCACAGATTGCTCTGTCAAGACAATGAATGGCTCTAGGCAACCCCCTAACCTGATAATCTTTTTTTTTTTTCTTTTTAAAAAATATATTTTATTGATTTTTTACAGAGAGGAAGGAAGAGGTACAGAGAGCCAGAAACATCGAGCTGCCTCCTCCTGCACGCCCCCCACTGGGGATGTGCCCGCAACCAAGGCACATGCCCTCGACCGGAATCGAACCCGGGACCCTTCAGTCCGCAGGCCGACGCTCCATCCACTGAGCCAAACCGGTCCTGGCCCTGATAATCTTTTACTGTTTACCAAACCTTACTTTTGATATGTGTGTTTGCTTTGCTAAACGGCAAAATGTGTAAATAAAAAGCCGTGGGTCCAGATATTCGGAGAACCACTCCACTAGAGAGTGGGTATGTGTCTGGCTCCCCCAATGGCTTCTAAATTTGTATTTCTTGTCTAGTTTATCCATTTATGTCACAGCCCCTTCTCCAGATTCCTGAACCCTTGCTGCCAAAAGACTGCAGCACTGCCCGTGGCCTATTCCTTCTCTGTACTCAGTCTCCCTCATGAGAGTTGAAGCCATGGCAATGTCTCGCCTTCTTAGCCTCTTACCCACTTCTCAGTCCCAAAGGCTCTGACCGTGGGAGGGCTCCTCTGTTCACCCCTGTGTGAGTAATAAAGAGATCGGTCCAAGACCCCTGGCTTCCACTGGCAACGTTTAACCCATCCTTCATACCCCAGGGGAGGTCACATTTCAAAACTCTCCTCTCAATTCTGCCCAAACAATGTCCTGCCCTGACCTACAAAGGCCAGTGGTGACCCTGCCAGCACTGTTCAAAGGCCCCATAGGATTATCAATACCAAAGGGCCGTAGATAAGAGACTTTTATTGCCAACCGTTTTCTCCTGTTTCAACATAAAGCAGCATCCACACAGAACAAAGATCAATATCTTTATTACATGCCCAAGTAAAAGATGAGGTTGTGTTGATTTGTACTCATTTCCTGGAACCCAGCCAGATTTGATGAAATCTGGATATTTTTCCCTCCAGAGGAAATTTAACTCTTCAGTGTCCTATTGTGTGGTTTGTGAAAAACCCAGACCTCATGGTTGTTTGTCAGCCCCCCCAACTTTAGCCCCTCCTACCACTGAGAGTCTCTGAGTGTGGAAGGAAAACTCTGTCTCTCTTAGCAAATTTCTATTTTTCTACTTAACCTACACAATATTTTATAAATGGTCACTTCTGTGTGAACGTACTTCAGCTTAATGTAGCACACCTGGTATCAGTATGGTCATCACGGGCAACTTGGAAATTTGTGTTACAAAGATTTAAAATATATATATATTTCAGAGAGGAAGAGAGAGGGTGCACACAATGAGTGGTGTTAGCTGAGAGCCCCCATTCGGGGCCTGAGCCTTTGTCAACTGCCAGGTGAGTTGACTGCGGGTAACGCAGCTAGAAATACACTAACTTTGGAGAGAAACAGAAAGAAAGTTCTAGTGAGTGTTCTTGTTTATCCTCATAAGTTGGTGATGATGATGATGATGATGATGACAACTTGATGATAGGCTTTTTGTATTGTATTTTAGAGCGTCTGTAAAACAATGTTACACAAGTTATCTCATAACATAAAGTTATGTTATATCACACTGGGCTCTGTGTCCATAGACTTTGGGCTATTTGGTTTTGTTTTAAAAAAATTACATAATCAATAAGGAGAAGAAAAGAACTCTGATTTTTAAAAAGTGGGTGAAGGATATGAAAAGGTAATTTGCAAAAATAAAACAAGCAACTGATTAAGTACATGAGAAAATGTTAAGAATCATAAATACAGGCCAGTTTAACCAACTAGATGCCATTTTACTCACCAGAGTAGCAAACATTTTAAATGATCTAAGTTTTCTGTGTTGAGGTACTGACTTTAGTTGCAAATGATAAAAAAACAAACAAAAAGCCTAGTTCAAAGTTCAACGTAACTGATAAAAATGAAATGTACGGGCTCAGACCCCAGAGTCCATGGGGAATCTGGATTCAGGCAGACCTGGGCGTGGGGCTCAGCTGACCCTATCATAACACCATTTGTCTGCAGACGATTGCTCTGTTTCAGTGTCACCTTTGCTCCACATAATGGCAAGACGGTGTCAGACCCTAGGCCTCTGTGTGCTCCCATAGCTCAAGTCCAGTTTGAAGGGGAAAAAAAATCAGTATTATCTCTAGAAGTGCAAACAATAGTGTTGTTGCCAGGCGGTGGCTCTGAGCAGGTCACCTCAGGCAACAGGCTGTGTGCACTTACTGGGTCAGGCCTGCCTGGGTCACAGCCACAACCGCATGGACCCTAACTGGGAGGCAGCAGTCTCCCAGAGATGAGTTAGGCGACTGCTCCAGAGAGGTGAGGAGGTGCCAGGAGAGGAACAACTGATGAATATTCCAGTCAGCCTAAGTGGGGAAATGATCCCTCCCATGTGCTGGGGAGAAAGTCAGCGTAGGAATAGCCTTTCTGGAAGTGAATTTCACAATGTAGAGCATGAAACCTTCCAAAATACCCACACCTTTCGACCTTATTTCTAAAAGGCTATTCTACCAAAATAACTGAATATGTGTGCAGAAATCTGCATACAAAAATAACATGAATAAGGGGGAATACTAAGCTTCAAATAATATGACATACAAATTCACACGAGAAGATAGCTATAAATAGGAAACGTGAGTAATAAAAATATCTATAATTAATAACATCTTTGTTAAATGTGTAAGTAGACATGTGTAGAAAAATAAATGAAAGATCAAACAAAACACCTTTAAAAATAGCCATTTCTGAATGATGGGATTATAGACAATATGTAGTTTCTCATTTTCTGCTTACTTGAACCTCCATTTTCCTAGCATGAACATATATAATTTTTTTTCCATAAAGAGAACATTGTGGTGGCCATGATCCAGGGCATCTCTGGCTTCTAATCCTCAGCATCAGTGGACTTGTACGTGGAGATGATTATGGCACAGAAGAACAATGAAGAGTGGTGGACGGATGGAGGGGAGTTGCGGTTTAGAAAAAAAAGCTTCTTCCTGAAGAAATTATCTCTCTTTAGAAATACAACCTTTACCCAAGAGGTGTTTGTCTTAGCCATACATCTGAGAAATAAGGAAACAGCACTGTGATGTCATCCTAAGTTAACATTGACTCCAAATCCACCCCTCAAGGTGGCACAGACAAAACACCGCTCTACCAGGAATCATGGGAAACAGTGTCCAGATCATCCTAATTCCCTGAAAATTTCATGGAATGGAGAGAGAGAGAAATAAGGTCAAAACTACTGGTTTGTTGAAACTAGAGCTATTCAGATGGATGGCTTACTGAATTGAATTTAAACCAGGAACGTTGAATTTTGAAATGGTTAGCAGGTTGCCTATAAGAATCAAAGTATGTACTGTGTACCTATTAGGATACTCAGATTGGACGCAGGCACTTTAAAATGCCTGGCACTCTGGAACATTCAGACAGAGTTGATTTTTAACTAATGTTGATAGAAGGCTGATTGTTTTCGAGCTGCTTTGCAGGGAGTCCTTTCCAAACAGAAGTTTCTGCCAACACATACCCAGAGGCACTCCCACTCCTGGGCTCCTTCCCCTAAGGTGCCTGGGAAATACTGAGCATTCAAAGAACTAGTCCTGACTTATTAGGGCCTGGCTCCTTCCCCAAAGCTCTATGTTCAGTAGCTTTTTTCAGTGGTGCCCGGTCCTTCCTAACTTCTCTCCCACACCCTTAACTGGATGTTTTGTAGATAATTCACTCACCACAGGAGACTGTAGCAAACAAGCAAATGAAATAAGCTGCTTGCCTGAAGGGAACCATCCTAAAAGAGAAAGCAGCACATGTGTGACTCTGCTGGGTGAGGGCTATTGAACATGAGCCTTAATCTAAGGTGACGTAGAGTTTCTTCTCAACGTGTGGATGGTGAATCTCAGCACACAATTACCATATAGAGAACATGGGTTTCTACACATTTTGTGCTCCGGGACTCGAAACAAGATGCAAATTGAGACATCCAGAGGAATACTTGTGTTCATTGCTCATTTGTCACAGGTGTTGTTCATAATTATGGAAAGGAAGCTTGTAGAAGGGAACTAAACAGTTGTGAACCCTCTTGAGTTGAGCACAAAGAAAATTATTGTACATAATGGCAATAATATCGTTCCAGATTCCCCAAGTAAAGCTCTCAACATATTGAAGCGCATTTGTTAATTTTTAAATCAGTCAATATTCTTTTGAGTTTAAAATAGCTAACACTTAAATATGTCCACATATAAGAACACCAGTTTCTTCAACACTTTCTAAATAGGCAGGCAATTAAAACAAACTAGTGGCTTCTTCATAATGTAAAAACTAGACTTAATTTTTTAAAAACCTGCTTTATTTGGAAGCAATGGGAATAATAGAAATTCTCTACCTGAAGGCACAGCTGCTTCTGAGCTTCTGGGCCGAGGGTCTCCTGCCTCTGACAAAGGGCCACCCGTCTGCAGCCTCCCTGCTGGGCTCTGCAGGCCGTGTTCACTTGCCTTTGCTATTGACTTTAGCTTTCTGCCAACGGTTTCAGCGTTTTGTCCTGTCAACATGGTCCATGAACATGCCATTCCTGTGTCCAGCTATCCTATATAATAAAAGTGTACGTGGCATCGCGCAAAGTCGTCACAAGATAGCCACCCCAAGTTGTCACAAGATGGCTGCCACAAGATAGCCACCCCAATGTCATCACAAGTTGGCTACCACAAGATGGCCGGCAGGGGAGAACAGTTGGGGGGACCAGGTTGGCAGGGGAGGGCAATTGGGGGCCATCAGGCTGGCAGGGGAGGGCAGTTAGGGGCAAGATCAGGTCAACAGGGGAGAGCAGTTGGGGCAAGATCAGGCCAGCAGGGGAGGGCAGTTGGGGGTGACCAGGCCTGCAGGGCAGGGCAGTTGGGGGTGACCAGGCTGTCAGGGGAGGGCAGTTGGGGCAATTGGGCCATCAGGGGAGGGCAGTTGGGGGCGATCAGGCTGTCAGGGGAGCAGTTAGGTGTCAATCAGGCCAGCAGAGAAGTGGTTAGGGGGCGATCAGGCATGCAGGCAGGTGAGTGGTCCCGGAGCCAGCAGTCCCGGATTGCAAGAGGGATGTCCAACTGCCAGTTTAGGCCCAATCTCACAGAGATCTGGCCTAAACCAGCAGTCGGACATCCCCAAAGGAGTCCCAGATTGGAGAGGGTGCAGGCCGGGCTTAGGAACCCCCCCCCCCATGCACGAATTTTGTGTACCGGGCCTCTAGTTGAATATATTAACTGTTTCACGTTGGGGCCATACAATTCATATGCAGGTTTCCTTTTTGAAAAATGTTCGGCACATTCCCCATTCTTTGGAGTCAAATGAAGCTTAAATCTCATCTAACGGGACTTTCTCCATTGTAATTGCCTAGCTGCACAACCGAATAACAGGTGGGTGTGGATAGCTGAACCTGAAAGGGTCTTCTGGCAAATGGTACCTATGCCACGAGCAAAGTATAAAATATCACTGAAATTTAAGTACGAAAGGGAGTTGGTTGATGTCTAGGTCCTGTTCCCTCCTAATTCAGAAAATAAGATGTAACACGGCTGACAAGCTACAATTCCCAGAACAAATCTGGCCCAGTACTTCTTTTTGCAAATCAAGTCTTATTGGCACACAGCCATGTACATTCAGTCATAATTATGGAGGCTTGCTTTCACCCTATAACTACAGTGACAGAGACAGTAAGGCCCACAAAGCTGAAAAGATTTGTTATCTGGCCCTGCCTAGGTGGCTTAGTTCGCTGGAGCGTCCTCCTGTACACCAAAATGTTGCAGGTTCAAATCCCAGTCAGGACACATACCTGGGTTGTGGATTCTATCACTGGTCAGAGCACATACAGGTGGCAAATGATCGATGTTTTTCTCTCACTTCTATATTTCTCTCTTTCTCTTTCTCCCTCTCCCTCAATCTCTAAAATCAATAAATATTCTTGGGTGAGAATTTTTTTAAAAATATATTTTATTGATTTTTTACAGAGAGGAAGGGAGAGAGATAGAGAGCCAGAAACATCGATGAGAGAGAAACATCGATCAGCTGCCTCCTGCACATCTCCCACTGGGGATGTGCCTGTAATCCAGGTACACGCCCTTGACCGTAATCGAACCTGGGACCTTTCAGTCCGCAAGCCGACGCTCCATCCACTGAGCCAAACCGGTTTCGGCAGGGTGAGAATTTTTTTTAAAAAGTAGGTTAAAAACCCAGTTTAGCACTCGTGTCATAGAGTTTGGACTTCTCTGTCAGGATACCTTGACTGCAAAAAAAACATACTGGTTTCTGAGGAGCCCATTTCTGCTCAAGAAGTTCTATCTTATTTTAATTTTTAAGAAAAAGTTTCCCTATACAGTGAAATACACCTCCTTGCAACTTCTATCCTTCCATCCTAGATTTATCTACTCCATCCACACAAAATAATTTATTCTCCTTTTTGTACTTTTTAAAATATTTAAAGACATAACCACTTTCCCACTAAATCTCCTTTGTTTTCTATATTCTTAAAAATTGCATTACATCAGTTTGGTTAGAAAGTTAGATTTTCAGGGATTTGATACTTAAGTAAATAATTAATGCATATTGCTGCACTGCAGAACTCTGTTTATTAAAAATGGAGGATAGCAAGGCCAATAAAATGATTTCTGGTTGTAATGCAGTAGCATATTTCAAATATGCAAGCTGTGATGCCTTTTAGATCAAGGGTATCAATCAAGACACCAACAATTTCTTTTTATTGCACTTTCCTGATCTTAGTCAACTTATGTTTCATGAGCATAAAGGCTGTACTAAAAATCACATTTCTATATAGAAACCTGATGCTAATATTTTCTTTTTTTATAAGTTGACTCAGAACCTATGAGTCAACTTATAAATGATCTGCTCTCCTTGGTACAATCTGGAAAGTATCATCATCATAATTATTCTAATAACTGATGCCACTGATATAATTTTTAAAACCTAAGCTCAAGCCTAAGTATTTAATTAACCTTTTCAAATTAAATGTATATGTATATATGTATATTTGTGTTCAACAAGAATACCTTAAAAATTCTGGAACTTCAATTAACTTATATCCTTTGGGTCTGTCAATTGAAATTGAATTGGACTATGGACCCCTCTGTTGAGAAATATATATGTTTATTTGGGTACAGACATCAGTTAACTCACCTTTTGGGATCAAGAGCAAGGGTAATATAATGGTGGTGATGAAAATATAAAAACTCTCTCTTTGGTAGACTTGACCCCAAGGTAAGTGGGGATAACAAAAAATTAGGTGTAGGTATTAAGACTATTAAATTCATGATCTACACATTGTAAATGCAAAGATTCTCTTAAAGAAAGACTTTATTCCTACTAAGGCACAGCCAATCATAGAGTTAGGATGCATCTGTGTTTCTCCTCTTCAACTTGATCCAGATGCCATTAGTAGGACGAAGAATCAGCTCTCCTGCCAGACCAAGTTCTTCTCTTTTCTGGTTGCATTCTACCCAAAAATGCCTCAGGATGCATGAAAGAATTACCTTTTCTTCCATCATGGCAAACCTTTGACCTTCAAATTAATATAAATAGCATAACTTTAATTACAGATATATCTCAAATGGGAGAAACAACAGGTTCTATTAGAGGGAGCAAGGGATGTTAGATTTTCACAGTAGGCCCTGCGGGAAGCAGTATCACTCATGATGCTTCCTAATAATAAAGATTCTTGAGTAACCTTCCCTGCTCCCACCCAGTGCATCTGAATAGCTGTGTGGACAAAGAATCCAGGCCATGCAGCACCCAGATGAATCCTGGGCTCATTGAAGCATGAGAACCACTACTCTAGAATGCTCTCCTCTGGGCCTTCAATGCAGTTTACTATAGAGTTACCAGGCCTCATTGCAGCAATGCCTGCATTTACATAAATAAAATGCCAGAGATACTAAGCCAAAGTGTTTATAATGCATGGCGGTGTGCAATCATTTTGTTTAAGTACTTCCACTGGTCCTATGGTGAGCATTCTCAGTTTTGGTTTTGAAAAAGGCAATTCTTAAAAACAATAAAAGCAGGTTAAATAAACTGTTATGAATAAGATATCTACCATGTAAAGTATATTCTACTTCAATCCAAAGATCTACATTTTAAAACTCTACCATGAACTGGTTATGCTTTATGTTATGGGCTGAATGGTATTCCCGCCCAATTCATCTGCTGAATTCTTAGCCCTCAGTACCTGACAATGTGACTGCATTTGGGGATAGGGCCCTTAAAGAGGTGAGTAAAAGAAAATGAGGTCCTATGGATGGGCCCTAATCTAAACTGACTGATGTCTTTATAAAAAGAAGAGATCAAGCCCTGGCTGGGTGGCTGAGTTGGTTGGTATGTCATCCCATTCACCATAAGGTTGTGAGTTCAGTTCCATCAGGGCATATACTTAGGTTGTGGGTTAGATTCCTGGTTGGGGCACGTATGGGAGGCAACCACTCAATGTTTCTCTCACATCAATGATTTCCTCTCTCTCTAAAAATCAATAAAAATGTATCCTTGAGTGGGGATTAATTAAAAACACACCCACACCCACACACAGACAGAGGAATAAACTCTTTCTGTGAAGACAGAGGGAGAAGACATCTATCTATAAGCCAAGGAGAGAGGCCTCAGAAGAAACAAGCCCTGCAGACACTTTGATCTGGGACTTCTGGCCTCCAGAATTGTGAGAAAATAAAATTCTGTCATTTAAGCCACCCAGTCTGTGGTGCTTTGTTACAAGAGCCCCAGAAAACTGATATTCTTCATGACAGTCATAGTAAAGTGGGGGGAAAATAAAACAACTAGTTTTTTCACAGACTTGTATCTGAGACACTACATCTCAAAGACACTATGGTGAGAAACCCCCTGCCATGTGCATCTGAAAGGTCAAACCGATTCTGATGGATACAAACCTATACAGTTTCTGGGTCCAGCAGAGAAGGGCACATATGCATATGGATGGCGTCCCATCGAATTCTCGGGAAAGAACCGCTCTGGCTTGAACTCCTCAGGGTCAGGGAAGTACTTTTGGTCTCTATGCAGTGCGTAGGGAACGATGAGTATTTGAGAGCCTTTCACGATGTTGTACCCCCCTGTCATGAGGCAGTCGATATGTCATGAGAACAGAGCAAGACAGACACAGAAAAGTCCACTCTCCCCACTACTTTCATGAAAGAATTCTCACCAACATCACAATCTTCATTAAGACCACGGGCAATTATAGGCACAGAAGGAAAAATACGAAGGGTCTCCTTAATAACACACTCCAGATATTTAAGTTTCTTCAGGTCTTCTAAGGTAACAGGGCGATCAGAATTCCCTGATCAAAGTAAATACATGAAATAAAATAAATGAAAGAACGATTTGGGCTTGGCGGATAAAACATCAAAAAAGAATATATTATAACATCAATACACTGAATGTTAAATACCAACAGCTAAAGTAAAATTCTTAATAGTATAGATAATCAAAATAAAATGAGACAATAATGCTAAGTAAAAAATCCAGACGCAAAAGGTCACATGTTGTATCATTAAATTTGGAGGAAGTACTCAGAGAAGATAAATCCATAGAGACAGAGTGTAAATGAGGTGCCTCCAGGGGCTGGAGGAGGAGAAAATGGGGAGTGGCTGATTAATGGTGCAGGGTT